CACCCTTAACTTATCCGATGCCCCCTCTATACATGATGCTAGTCCAAAGCCAAAAGGTTCACAATTTGCCATGTAGGTCATTGGGCTGGGCCCAGCAGAGTCAACAGTGTTCCAAGTCATAGTGACCCTGCAGATTGGCACTGATCAGTATCTGTGTACGTTCCAGATATCCCCCACAAAGGAACCATGTGCTAATTAACCGCACACTCACACTTGGAACTGGATGGTGTTGTCATGAGTCCTGGGATCCTCCAAAAATTTATATGCAGGTGAGGTGTAGGACGACCTGGCCCACCTCCACCTTGATTAGGTTGGGGGCCACACTAATCATATACAACCAGCCAAGAGAGGGACAGAGCCAGGAACAGGGATTCTGATTGAATTGTTTGGGGCCCTGTTTGGTGATATTTGCCAGACATTTAAGACTGGTGAAGAAACAGAAATCTTTTGAAATGGGAAAGATACAACTCAGGTGTAGGAGTGAAGAGGAAGTTGAAATGTATCCAGTGTAGTGGTTCACTATGACTTGGAAGAGTCAGCACTGAGAGGGACTGAACACAATGGGCATTACATCTTATCAAGACAGCCTGCACTGGCCTATGCCTTTTGGCTAAGATCAAGCACTTTTGGCCCCCAAAGGGAGAATGTAAAGGCTAGTTATAGTCTTCCTGGTACCAGCCTGGTATTGTAGTACCTCCATGCCTGGTGCTGCTTCCTGTAGAGGGTACCACCTGCACATTTTTTTAAGGGGAGAGCGGGGGAAGGTTTCCATCAGAATCTTGACCTTTTGGCTAAGATAAAGCATTTTTGGCTGGAAGTGGAGGGTGTCAGGGCTGACTCTGGCCCCCCTGGAGCCAGCCTGATATTCCAGTACCTCCAAGCCCAATGCCAGTTCTCTGTGGAGAGAACACCTGCCTGCCTTTTTTTTTTCAAAAAGGGCCCCCAAAAGAAAGAGATTCCCATCAGTATGTTTGTTTAATATTGTCCATGTGTTTTATAGTCATGCTCACTGTTGGCTGCATTTAATCAGCTTCATAGTTAGCTTCTCTTACAGAGCCCATGCTGCTTTTGGCAACAGTTTAATGATAAATGATGTGTTTAATGAGGTTTCCTTGTATGCAAATGTAAGATGATGGGCTTTAGGAAAAACTTGGTCAGTATTAAGCAATAAAGCTACAGTAACCAGAAATAAAAGAGAATAGATGTTGTAATGGATTTTTGTAGCCATAGATTATCCAATATACAAATACAGAGCCTGATCCAAGGAGACTTTCATGGACTTCAATGGGTTTTTCATAGACTTTCATAGACATCAGGGCTGGAAGGGACCTCGGAAGATCATCGAGTCCAGCCCCCCGCCCAAAGGGCAGGAAGTCAGCTGGGGTCATAGGATCCCAGCAAGATAAGCATCCAGTTTCATCTTGAAGGTGTTCAATGAAGGCGCTCGAACCACCTCCGGTGGCAGGCTGTTCCAGACCTTGGGGGCTCGGACAGTAAAGAAATTCTTCCTTATGTCCAGCCTGAAACGATCTTGAAGTAGTTTGTGACCATTCGACCTCGTCATCCCTTGGGGCGCTCTGGTGAACAAACGTTCCCCCAGATGCTGGTGGTCACCCCTGATAAACTTGTAGGTGGCCATCAGATCACCCCTGAGCCTGCGCTTTTTCAGGCTAAAGAGCCCCAGGGCTCTCAGCCTGTCATCTTAGGGTCTGCTTCCCTGACCTCTGATCATGCGCGTGGCTCTTCTCTGGACTCTCTCAAGCTTCTCCACATCCTTTTTGAATTGTGGAGCCCAAAACTGGACACAGTACTCCAGCTGCGGCCTCACTAAGGCCGAGTACAGGGGGAGAATGACGTCCCGGGATTTGCTTGAGAAGCATCTATGGATGAAAGCTTTTTCCCAAGGTGGAGAACCTTGCATTTATCGGCGTTGAACACCATCAGATTCTCGTCCGCCCACTTGCTGAGCCTTTCCAGGTCAGCCTGGATCACCCGCCTATCTTCTGGTGTGGATGCTTTGCCCCAAAGTTTGGTGTCATCGGCGAACTTGGCCAGTCCGCTTCTGATGATACCCCATATCTGATACCCCAGATATATATATCTGATTTTGATGATACCCCATATAATAAACCAGTCCGATAGTTGAGGACTGTATATACCATAGAATATTAACAACGTCTAGTTCTTATATAGTGCTTCTCCACAGTAAAAACAAGCAGGGCTACAGACAGAAGAGGTGACTCACTGAAGGTTATACAGGGCCAGGAACAGAACCCAGTGGGCAAGTCTACATGTGCAATTAACGTGTCTGAATTTTCTACACAGAAAATTCAGGCACATTAAACAGAGCCCCCGCATGCATCTGCACATGCACCTGTCAGGAGCAAATTTGCTCCCGACAGAAGCAGTTCAGTTTGGGGCTGCTCCACCCCTGCTCTCCCCCCTCCCTCCCCACCCCCACAGCAGCTAGGGGGAGCTCCAGCTTTGGACTGGCAGAGAGCACGGGGGCTGGTCTTGATCTCCACAGGGCTGGGAGAGCTGTCCTGGTTACCAATCAGCTGCCTCCCAGCCCCATGGAGTTCAGGACTGTCTCAATCTCCACGGGACTGAGAGGCAATGTCCTGCAAAGCTGGGACAGCTCACCCCACCCTATGGCCCCCTGCTGCCTAGGCTGACCAGAAGCAATTTGCTCCCAGTCAGCATCTACACATGTGCTTTGATACATTAGTTTAATGTGCTGGTATCTAGTACCTGTATCTACAAGTACTAGAAAATGGCACATTAGACTAATCTACCGGGCAGTAATTGCTGCACATGTGTAAACGGTGATGCTGCACTGCACATTAGATTAGTCTACTGCACACTAAAGCATCTCATGTACACCCAGTTTGATTAAGTCCCAGGCCAGTACTCTCACTTACTGCTTATAGACAATGAGTCTGACCCTCCACTTTACATCAACTTTGCACCACTATAATTGTACTGATGTCAACATTTTTCAAAAAACAGTCTCTTATTTTGAATGCCCAGCTTAAAGAAAACATTAGTCCAGTGCCTGTAAATGTAAATGACTGCTTTCAAGTACTTACCTGTGCCCGTTTTGATATAACTTCTTGTTAAGAACAGTGGGAGTTTTACACATTCTTCTTCCATTTGTTTTGAAGCCAGGCTTCTATCTATAGGGTTTTTTTCCTTATGTCACAGACAAGAAACTGACTTTCTAGAAAGCCTGGAACTACAGCTGTTTAGAAAACGTCTCTGCTCAAGATGTCAAATGTGATAAAATGCAAGCTGAAAACACCTGGAGACAGACTGTCATCTGTGATCTGTGCCAGAGACTACGTGTTACTTCTCCTGGGAGAGCAGCACCTTGGGCAAGGACATAAATGCTTTCAACAATAAGTCAGACACCACCCCCCAGTGGTGATTAAGTTTCTGACTAGTTAGGTGCATAAGAAAAGGTTTACATATATAGCCAAGGAGAACCTTTGCTCCTACATGTGAACAGAGACTAGAGTTGCCAACTCTGAAAATTTTGTTGTGCGTTTCACAATATTTGGCTGGTTTCTAGAAGTTCCAGCTTCGGGATGCAGTGCATTATGTAAGAACTTCCACTTTCCCTTTAAGAAAAAATAAAAAATAAAAAAAGCAAATTTCCTAGCTTTATACCCAAAGAGAAAAACTTGAAAATGTGACCTCTAAAGGCTCAAATCAGGTACCCAACATTATATTATTATTTGTTCATTATTTTCCAACAATCTTTTGATTTCAGAACTGTGACTCAACATTTTGGGATATTTGGGCTATGGTTGTGAGTAATGGGTATGTACATACATACATACACGTTTTGAACACTATTGCTTACACATAGCAAGAGACAGCAGTTCAACTACTTAAAACTGGCATAGCTCTATTGGCTTCAAATGTATACCAAGTGAGGATCTACTCCAAAAAAATTCACTTGCACAGAATGATCTGTGATTGATTTGTATCGCTTGTCTCAGTTCACACCAACTGTGATATCAAAAAATCCTTTAAAAAAACAAGAAAATTCAAAGTTAAAGTTTCCTGGTGACTATAATTCACTGTACTGAGCCTGAATATTGTAACTCTCATGATCCCCTGCTAAAGGGCTTTGGAACAATAAATGATCACTCGAGCAGCGAACTGATAACACACCAGTTTTGTAGTGGATAGGGTACTATATTCATGACTACCCACCACCCTGAAACACACGAGTGACTGGTGCCTCCTGAATCTGGGAGGGCACCTGCAGATGCCGCCAACAGCAGCGGCCTTGTCACGGGGGCACCAACTCTACCGACAGCATCAGTGTCGGCCGTCAGGGGCGGCACCAGCCCATCAGGTTGGGCACGTGGACCCCCTACCAGTTGCCTATGCTGAAACACTCTGCTGAGGAAGCATGCAGGTTGTAATTGAAGTCTGCCATACCAGATGCATTAAAAATAAAGCCAAGGCCTTGTGCTGTAAGAGTGGGACATGAATCTGTGTTTGTGTGCCTGGTGTGCAAACAGGTTGGCTCTGGCATATTCTCAGTTTACTCTGGATGAAAAGAGTGGAGTAGGCAAATGATGCTTAGCATTTACTTCGGAAGAAAGACTCTTCTCTGATGTAAATTTGCTACGGAGAAAGTTACTCAGGTGTATGTGTGTCTACTATCATTGTCAATCTCATTCTGGGGTAGCCATTTACTCAAGCTGGCTGGGACAAGGTGCTCCAGTACTACTCTGGGCAGGCAGCTTGGGAGAAGTGGTCGTGTGTTGCTCCTTACTCCAGAGTAAAATATATCACAGAGCAAAATCCAAGGGAAATTACTCTGGAGTAAATGTGTCAAGTGCCTACACTGTAAGCACATCTACACGTTCATTAATGCACCTTAGATGCTGTGTATTTAGAATAGGATTTCCTTAATAAAGTACTAACTAAATGCACAGTACCTAGAGTTACTGCGTAGTAGCACCAGAGCATGGTTATTTAGTGTCACTACTCATTAACCTAATAACTCTGGGCAGTAGGCTATTAGCATCATTTGTACTGTAACGCACTACTGCACAGTGTTATTAGGCTAATGCACAGTAAGTGCCTCATGTAGATGTGCACTGTAAGGAAATAAACTTTGGAAGGAATGGGCCAATGCATATTTTGAGAAATGCCCTCTCTAGGATGGCACCAGAAGCCTCCACTAAGTTGTAGATTCTATATTATAAAAATAATGTTGATTCTTCTTTTCTGCAAGTGGCCTGGAGCTGTGCTTTTCTAACCCCAAGGCTGTATTGAAGGTCTAGATGACAACTGTGGAGTTCCCATTGGATATAGCTTTCTTGTATTGTTATGTTAAGTCAATGTTATTTTTCCCATGCTGGTATAAATGTTGTCTTATTTTCCAATAGTATCATAATTTCTCCAGTGGACCCAGTCTATATTGATTCTAATGGAGCTCTGCTTTTTCCAGCCTCCTCACTTGCCAAAAGACTTCTCTCGCCAAAAGACCCGATGCAGTTTTACCTGTGTGACCCAGAGTTGCAGCAGCATGGCTCTGGACTGCATATCCTCATCTACTCCAAGCTCCTCTAGGTGCTTCTTGTAGCTCTCTAGCCAAGAGCTTTTATTTGCTTTGCAATTCAGTCTTTCTACCGACAGAAGTTTCCAGAGACGCTCCTTGATTCTGGCTACTTCCTTCTGTTCCACTTCACATAAAAAGCAGAAATTTGGTTACTCAATATGGGGGGACGGGGAGAAAGAGAGAAAAAAACTGCAACTGATCTGTTTTAGTAGCTCTTGGCTTAGTATGTGAGGATATAACTATAAAGCAAAGTGAAGATGTAACTGTAGACAGGTAAACATATTCATCCTGGTTTAAACCCAACCAGTACCCAACTAGTACACAGTCTGAAGATACAGGACTGCAGGCTTCAGCCTACACTAGAGACCCAAATGCATCCCCAGGGCATCTTGTATTTATTTGCCCTGTTTGTTAGCTTCTGCTGAAGCCCAAGCCACCACATTTGCCTATTGTGTTATCCTGTGCTAGAGAGACCCTGGACTAACAGGGCCTGTGTCTCTGGGCTACAATCACACCTTCGTACCCTGAGTGATAAGAACACAGAAAACTTAAAGCTTTCCCAATGGTGCCATCTACTGTCCATAAGTGCTCTTCCAGATCTGGTCCAATGTAAACACTAGGACGGTCTTGCTCAGAGATCACTTACAAACCATATGCTCAGTGTCTCTGTGCTTTCCAGAGCAATGCTCCTTCCCTTTGTCCTAAACAGTGAGTCTCCATAACTGTGGCAGAGGTGAAAAGCAAATTCTCAGAAGGCAACAAAGAAGGAAGAATTAGACCCCTCTGTCGTCAGACATACCATAGTCCATGGGTTGTGCCAAAAATTCTCATTTTTGGCCTTGCCTCTATTGGGAAAGTGAATTATATTTGGAAACACAGTTAATCAGCATGGTATTAAGCAAAGTTCCCTCTAAGGAGTAGCGGTCCATGAGTGTGGCGCTTCAGTCCGTGAGTGCGCCGCTTTGGTCCTGCCCCCTCCTTTTGGTGTGGCGTGAGACACTTACCGAAGGTCAGCTCCTCACTCCTCACCCAGGGCAGGCAGTGGGGGCTGCCTGGGGCCTGGTGCGGGCTCCACCGGCTCCAGGGAACTGCTCCAGTCCCCCACATCACCTCAGGGAGCGAGGAGGCACGTGGTGTCAGGGCTGGGGAGTGGAGCAGTTCCCTGGAGCTGGCAGAGCCTCACTCAGGGCAGGCAAAGGCAGGGATGAAGGCTGGGGCTGGCGTGGGCTCCGCTGGCTCCAGTCCTGATGCCACGTGTCTCCTCACTCCCCGAGGCGATGCGGGGTAGCGGAGCAGTTCCCCGGAGCCAGCGGAGGCTGCACCAGGGCCCAGGCCCTGTCCCCGCAAGGAACTTACCTTCAATACGTGTCCCACACCGTAGCCCAGCTCCTCTCCCAGCAGATGCACAGCCTTAAAAAGTTTGTGCACGGCAAAACTTTTACTTGCGCGCAGCCACGCACGTGCGCACCTTAGAGGGAACCTTGGTAATAAGTCCCATACAGTCATACTCAATACATTTCCTATTTGGAAAGCAAGCATTGACCACATCCAGCTAACACATTTCTTGACAAACCCTTATGCGAAGCTGATATGACCATGCTGATATTCCAGTGAGCCTGGCACTCACTTGGCCAGCAGGCAGCCCTAGCAAGCAGGTTCCATGAAAGTGACCTGTGGAGACTTAGCTGACTTTTGCCCCTTCCTGCAGGGGCCAGGATATATAGAGACAGCACAGCTCTCTCTGACCATGACACATGACACACCATGCCATGTTACAGGATTCGAAGTCTTTTCCCTTTTCCCATCCCATGTTCCACAGCAGCCGATACAGGGTCAGGGCAGATTCCTTCAGGTGGCACACAAGGGATGCACAACAGCAAGTCCCCAGATAGCAGGCAAGCAATGCAAGGAGGGCCTCAGCTAAAGTAAGTTGCCTTTACAATTGCCATGGGAGAATGGGGGTAGAAACTGATGTCTGGGTACAGAGGATCTAAACCATTCAGAGATTTATTGTTTAAAGACAATCATCTTTATATGCCATCTGAAAATCAACCAAAAGCCAGTAAAAAAAGAAATCAAACCACAAGCCAAAACCTCAGAGATACATGCAAAGGGAATATTATTTTAAATTAATCTGTATGTGCAGTTGCAGGAGCTGTGCCAATAAATTAGCTTTATCATGGCATGGGTTAACGTGCTCGACTACCTGGCCTTATAAGAATGACTCTCTCTCCCCCCCTACATACTAACCTGTGGTTAGCATAGAGCGGGCTGCTCTCATCAAAAACCGATCCAATTTATAGAATTCATTGTAGACTTCAGAAGAATGGGCTCGGTCTTTATCTTGAGAAGAAGGATCATCATAGTTTTCTTCTTCATTGCCATACAGTGTCAGATATCCAGCTCTGTTTAGGAGAAACAAGGACAATACATTTGTTTCAAAAAAGATAAAACAAATAAAAACCTGGTTCCACTAAGGTGCAAAGCAAAGCTTGTATTTGCCTGGCTTTTACCTAACAAGTTTAGTATTTTAATCTTAATATGTCATTAAAAAATTCTTTACCATATATTGCAAAACTTATAGGTCATGTGCAACAAAAATTATTTCTTAATATAGAGGGTAATAGTACAGTATAAGTGAAGTTTTGATATTTTATTTTACATCTGTTTTGCTTTGTTTTTCACAGATTTGTCATGTACACAAGTACAGATCCAGCTCCTGCTTTTGCATACAGGTCACTTCTACAGTCTATACATCTTAAAAGAACACTATCAAAGTGTTCCCATGGAGGATAGTTTCAGGCTAGACGTTAGGAAGCGCTATTTCACTGTCAGGGCGGCTAGGACCTGGAACCAACTTCCAAAAGAAGTGGTGCTGGCTCCTACCCTGGGGGCCTTTAAAAAAAAAGGCTGGAAGAACATCTGGCCGGGGTCGTTTGGCCCCCCAGTACTCTTTCCTGCCATGGCAGGGGGTCAGACTATATGATCTCCTCAGGTCCCTTCCGACCCTACCAACTATGAAACTATGAAAGTGCCCATGTCAAGTGCTGAGAAGTTAGGAACGAATAAGATTATAATACAATCTTTCATTGTAGAGTTATATGGTATTTTTTTCTGCATTTGGTGCACAGGATGGATGGTGCGCACCATGAGCAGCTGTTTAATATGTGCTTTATCCTTGTTGTACAAGGTGAATTATTTAGGTCAAAGGCCTGTCTCAAACTTAGGTAGCCAATTGGGCTAGCAGGGTTAAGGCTGATTGGGTTCCGCCACCAATAGAACAGAATGGAGTGATCTGGCTTGCATCACCTTACCCGTTACTGACTACTCCACCTACAAGCCTGAACAATTTGGTACCTATTTATAGCTTGGTTACCTCAGGGATGAATTTATAGCTTGGTTATCTCAGGTCTGTCAGGATGAATCTGGAGTGAGACTCAAACTCAAGCCTCTGGAGCTATAGTGAGACACAAACAGATCTTCTCCCAAGCCCCTTAGCATTTTACATGCTGCAGTAAAGAAATAAATAATGGAGCTTAGTGTGATATCCGAAGGCGAGGGACTTTAATGAAACTTTCACCTGAGCATTGTGCTGTAAGACAGATAGAACAAGCCTCCTTCTTGCCATTGCTGATTCTGGTCAGAAAGCAGAAGAGTCTTGAGGTTGAAGAACATTGCTTTTGTAAGGGATGAAAGGTTCTTGTTCTGCAGAGTCCTGCAGAGAAACAAGTTTGCAAAAAAGCCTTCATGTATAATTCTTACGATCAGTGTTTAGCAAGAGTCAAGTCCCACCTACATCACAGGCCCTATAACTCTGGTATCTGAACCTAGTCCACAAGCCCTGCTCAGACAAATATGCTCTGTGGAATGGGGAACCTGGGCAAAATATCTTTCCCACTGCAGCGCAGCATGCCCTTCAAGGCAACTCCTAGAGCAGCAATGGCAGTAGTAGCATGCAAGCCCTGATCTGGATTCTGTTCTGTCCCAGGGTAGAAAGGCAGCTGTAAAGATCAAAGCTAGGTTGGAAACTCCCCAGCTTTTAGGTGCATTTGGATTTGTTTTTTGAATGGAGGTAGAAGCTCCTGAGAAAGAATCAAATGCTGAACACTGAGGCCACATCCCCACGAGTGGGAACATGTGCTTCATTGCACCTCAGAAGTTTGAGGCACTGCAAAACACACACAGTACACACGAATAGGTTCTCCGTGTTGCATATTTGCAGCACAGAAGCAAAATTAGATAATGGGAAATCCCGTCACCTAAAAAGCACGGAGAAAAAAAAGTGGCATAGTACATGTGGCAGCAGCATGCACCGCCCAAAGCCTGAGCCTGGTCAGCCGGAGTCATTCTCCAGCTGGCAGCCAGGCTCCACATGCTCAGATCGCTACTGCTACAGTTTCAGGAGGTCCCCAGGACCACAGGTAAGGCTGCTGGGGCCAACCCAAGGGTTGACTTCACCCTCCCCTACCGCACCTGGGGCAATTTGCCATGCACCAGAGCATGTATGCATGGGCAGGGGTGTTTCTTGGGGATAACCAACTATGTGGTCCCAGGGAAACACACCTGCATGCTCATGGGGATGCTCCCTGAGATGCTATCTCTGTGGATTTATTTTGTGTCATTACTATCGTTCCTGTTTCAGCTAGAGGGGGTGGGGTGGTGCAGGTTCTATGGTGCACAGTTGGCAGCCCAGACGCTGCAAAATTCAAGGACACAATTGAAGTGCTCATGGTACAGTCTGTCAGATTCCAATGAACCTGTGAATTCTGTTAATACCTTGTCACAAGAACATGAAACAGGAAAAGTGACAGTCCAGTGAGTTGGACTTTACTGACTCATGAATTACCAAGAGAATTTAGGTAGCAATTTTCCATCCTTGGAGGTTTTTAAGACCTGGATAGACATAGCCTTGGCTGGGATGATCTAGTTGGAGGTGGTCCTGCTTTGAGCAGGGCACTGGATTAGATGTGACCTCCTGAGGTCTCTTCCATCCCTAATGTTTTATGATTTTATGAAAAATGACTGAGCCAGGGAAAGGTCAGTTTGCAAATGCGTTCACATTTGGGGCAAACCAGAGGTCAGATGAAAAATTTGATTGCAATGGTCTAAAATTTGCCATGGAGGCAAAGGGATTTCCACTGATGAGCTTCCAGTAGCCTGGAGTCTGGGCACTGCATTATGCTACTACCACTCTTGTTCCTTAAAAAGAACAGTCCTTCTGTGACAGCTGTTTTCATGCCACTGAAATGGTTTCCAAGGGACTGATTAGGTGTCATTTTCCTTGATGTATTCTGTCCACTTGGGACTTCCCCACACAAGACTGTCACACAGGACTGGAGAATACTGCAGCTCCAATCCTTTCAGGTGAAGTTGTGCTAATCTTTGGTAGCTGATTCAGTGCAATGTGCTGCTCATATTAACCCACCAGAGGAACACAGATGACCCTGTGAACCTTCTATTCTAGAAATTAGAATTAACATAATAAACATTATTAATATGCTAAAATAAACATAAGAGCATAGTAGAGAGCAGGGGTACCATAAAACTTCAGAGCTCTCAAGCTATGTGCAAATGTAATGGTACATAATAAAAAATCTGAAACGAGGCTCTATAATAGGGGCAGACAGTTATTTTGGCTGGAGTCTGCTTAACGAGTTTTGGTGAGCCTTGATGGCTGCCCTGCCCCCTGGTAACCATCTTGGTACCAAAAGTCCTACCTCTAACCCCTGATCTTTGCCACCAGAAGTCCCTCCCATTACCCAAAAGTACTCTTTTTGGGAGGAAGTGTGATGCTATCTTGAAACCAAAAAAACCCAAATCATTACTAAAAAATAAAACATCTACTATAACTTATTTTAATTTTATTTTAAAACATTTTTGGCCTGATTTATGGGTGCTTGCATAGTGTATCCAGTGGCAATTGCATAACAGCTTAAAATACAGTCCTGGTCTTGTATATTGTGTGTGGACGGCAAGGGGGTGTATGTGGGGAGATGTGGTTGGGAAGTGAGCGTGTGTGTGGTGGGGTGTGGGTGTGGGTATGGTGGGTGGGCATGGATGGTTGTGGGGTTATAGTGCATGGGGTGGGAGAGAGAGGGACAGAGAGACAGGGCCAGGCCACCAACTCTATTGCGTGTGGCTCTCGTGGACTGTATGCGAGCCTCACCTGATACAGCCAGGCAGACCCCATGCCTAGGCTCCAGGCTTCTGCCACCTCACCCTGGGTTCCTGCCAGCCCCAGGGCACTGGCATGGGCTCTGTGCTCCTGCTCACCACCACCAACCCCCGCTGCTTCCCTACTTTTCCTCCTGCACACCCACCTACCGCAGCTGCCACCGCTTCCCAGCTGCCACTCCTCCAGCCCACTGCCACTGCTTCCTATCACCCCCACTCCCCGCTACTCCCCCTACCTGACACCCACCACCGCTTCCCACACATCTCTTCCCCACCCACCCACCACTCTGGCTTCAGCCTGCCCTGGCCAGCACCACACGTTCCTGGCTGCATGGCCAGGATCACATGGCGTGGCATGGAACCAGCCCAGCCTGGCACAGGCCCTGCAGCATGGGCACATCAAAGTGGTTTCTCCTCCCCACTCCCTCCTGGCTAGGCCCTGCCAACTCCATGCCACGTGGCACGGCATGGATCCGGCCCAGCCTGAGTCCTGCAGCATGAGCTGATTGCAGTGGTTTCCCTCCTCCCGCGTCCACTCTTACCTGACTTTCCACTTGGAAGGAGGAAGTGCTGGGAACAGCCAAAGGGTCACCAGGCCAGAAGTCACAGAGGCTTCTGATTGAGGGCAGGGGGCAGGCTGGGGCCAGCCCGGGCAGGCCTTGCTGCTCAGTCACTGGGTCTAGCCGCCAGCTTCTCCTGGGTCCTGTTCCCACTGGCCCCTCATCATCTTTGACAGGCAGCCAAGTGCAGATAATAATTCATTCTCTAAATTTTTTAGGGACCCCACAGGCTGGAAAGAATGACCTGGCAGGCTGGATCTTCCCCATGGGCCACATTTTGCCAACCCCTGCTCTATAAGGTAAAACCAGCACCTCTAAACAATTGTCGCTCCATCAGTTTTTATACCTATATATTAGAGCAATGCTTTTCAACCTTTTTAGACTCAAGGCACCCCTTGGAAAATGCCAGCTCTTAGTTTTCACTTTTTTAACTACAGAAAAATAATAGAGCAGTTTTTCTGTTGCAAAGACCTCAGAAAGACAACAACTATGCATTTCTACTTGAAATCTCTGGGTTTATCGTGTGAATCATGTTTGCAAAACTAACAGTGTTAAAATTGCGTGGCACCCCATGGCACCCTTGAAAGGATCTCAAGATACTTCAGGTTGCCACGGCAACCTGATTGAGAATAAATAGAGGGTTATGTCTGACTAAGGACTGCTTCCCCAAACAACTTACATCTATCTTTAACAGAGTTTAAAACTTCTGTTGGCAAGAAAATAGTCAGAAGGGGTCACTCAACTCTTCTCAATTTCAAAGGAGCAAATTTAAATAAACTAAGGGAACTCATGAAGTTAACTGCACTGAGAACTTGAATGTGAAGGAGGCCTGGATTTTTTTTTAAGTCAAAGATTGAAAAAAACTATCTCAAGTAAGAAGAAAAAAAATTGTAGGAAAGATGCCAGATGTAGCTGGATGACTAACTACTCTTAAAAGGATATCTGGAACCAGCAACAAATGGAAGTAGTACTGATAAGCAAAGAAAGTACTGGTTTCAGATTATATCTTTGAGGTCAAGAAGGGAGTAAAATAAAAACGGCTAATGAACAAAGCTAAATTATACCTTGGAAAGGTTATTAAAACATATAGGTAAACAATCGTCAGATCTGTAAACCAAAAAAGAACATGGAAAAAACTGGGCCATTATGTATTTTGGGTGAGGCTCAGATAAAAAATAATTTGCTGTGGTCCAAAATCTAAATGAATACTTCACCTCAGTTTGCAATAAGGGAAATGAAGTTGAACAAAGGCAAGGCCAGACCAGCTAATGGGAAAGTAATTCCTACTACTGAGATGGAGGCAAAACTCAGAGAGCCAGAGAGCTTAATTCACTCACAATGGAGGAAGAAGGACCAGGTAAATCTCTGTCCCAGAATTCTAGAATTCTTGGGGGTGGAAGGGAAAGGGAAGGAAAACTGGCACATGAAAATGCTGGTCAAGTAATAAGTACTTATTAAAAGGCTATAAAATTGAGGACAGCACCAAACCTTAGAAAACAGTAAATATAGAATATATATCTAAAAATGAGAAAGAAGTGATCTGGAAGACCACCGGCCTATTTGTCAGATCTTAATAATATGCAAGGATTTAGAGCTAATGTTAAGATAAAAAGGAAAATTTTAAGGTAAAAGGAAGAATAGGGTTTACTAAACAGATTGTGCCAGATTAACAAGGATTTTTTTCTATTAAAAAGTGAATGATTTTCTATACAAAAGAAAAGTAGTAGATCTCATCTCTCTGGACTTTCATAAAGCTTTTGATATTGTGACACATGGTAAGTGTGCAAATGGAAGAAATTGAAGTAAATGAAAAAAGTATTAAGTAAATGAAAAAAATGGAATTAGTACAAGAATTGTAAAACAAATAAAGATTGGTTAAAGAGGGAAGATTCTGGAGAAAGGGGAAGGAAGTATCATCCTAGAAGGAGGTTATTAGTCTTGAGACTGTTCTTATTTAATGCCTTCATTAAGGACCTTAGGGCTAGGGACACACATTACACATAAATCAGTTTAGGTGATCAGAAACTGGTTTAAACCTGTAACAGAACAGACATTCGGTGCACATAAACCAGTTTGAAAATGGCTAAAACTGGTTTGAGATAAACCTGGTTGAATGTAGTATCAGACTTAACTGATTTGGGTCAAACTGGTTTATGCAATGTCTGTCCCAGGCCCCTTCCTTGTTTAAGTTTAATCAGAGTCCTCCAGCATCCCAGTTGTTCTGCAACCCTGGGTGGTGCTCTGCTCTCTCCTCCAGCCCAGCAGGGCTGCCCCACCCCTCTGCTCCCTGACTGCAGCTCCAGCAAAGACTGCACTTAGAAAGCATCTGCCTAGCTTCCTCCTGCTCCTCCCCTCCCTGTCATCACTCCTTGCTCAAGCAGAGATTCCCCCCTCCCCTCTGCCTTACACAGACACCTCTCACCATTAACTAGCATACCACATGTTGGATACTAGAGGTGAGTGAAGCGGACCATATTCAATTGTCCAATTCAGAGGACAGTGATTTGATTCGTTGATTCAGATCACTGTGCTGATCTGATTCAGCTGAATCTGAACATGAAGATTCAATTCTGATTCACAGAATCAGTGATTTGGCCATAGACACAGCTTTATATGTTTTTTCTATATACCTCGAGGTACCAGGTGTGGCTCAGGAGCACTGAGATGGTAGGGCAGATGGAGCATGTGGAGGGTGGGGGTGAGGGGTCCCTCACATGCTCCGCAGCAGACCCAGAAGTGCTTCTGGTCCACTTCCAGGTCTGTCACCAAGTGCACTGGGGACCCCCCCTGCACTCCTGTGGGACGCTCCATCCCCCCCACCATCTCAGCATTCACGAGCTGCCTGGTACCTTGAGGTATGTAGAAAAAACATAGAAAGCTGTGTCTATGTCCGAATCACCAAATCTCTCCGAACCAATTCGGAGGCTTCTGATTACATTCAGAGAGATTAATGGGTCTCCTGATTCAATTCAGGTTCAGAGATTTGGCCACTGAATCAGGCCAAATCTCCTCTATGAGAACTAATGAGACTGTCTGATGGGCTGATAAATGCTAAACAACTCTCTGTGTAACTCCCTGCTGTGTAACTCAATGCTCTGTTATCAACAGCAAGGGGGGAGGGACCTCTCCCTAATCAGAGCATCCTGCAGGGGCCTGGCCATGCCCCCCCCCCAGCTCAGCATTAGGGAAGGGAACGGAAGGGAGGGCTTCCAGCCTGAGCCACTGCAGGCATGTGCCTGCATTTCTTCAGTCCAGAGGGGATGTCTGTACAGTTACAAATTGGTTCAGCGTAGCCAAGCTAGACTAGCCTGCAAATATTGAATCATTTCAGGCTCAGGCTTTTTCAATGTTTGTCCCTAACCTAGCAGAAGAGGTAGGGCTGAGCTGATGAAATTTGCTGATGAGACAAAGTTAGGATTCTGTCTCCAAAGAGGAAGATCAGGATGTCATGGAGAAAGAAGTGAATCATCATTAATAGAAATAAAGTACTAGAAGTGGGATGAAATTCAAAGGGTTGTTGGTTGTAGCCATGTTGGTCTAAGGACATAGGCAGACAAGGTTCTGATAAAATTCAAATACATTCAGAGACCAACAAGACAAATTTTTTACAAGAGCTGAGACTTTAACCATTGAAAATGTTTAAGAAGGGGAAGAAGCAGGGTGTATGAATTGATCTTTAGACTGCTAGGAGCCACCAAAGGATGGGCTAGGAAAAAGGCAAGTATGATCATAGGATGCATCCAGAGAGTATTTCCAGGGGAGACAAAAATGTTAACTCCGTTACTCCAGAGCTTAGTGAGACCTCATTTGCAACACTGTACAGCTCCCATGCCGGCCACATAGTTTACATCAGTAAACAAAGGCCCCTGAAAAAAGCATGTTTGATGGGGCCCTGGAAGTGTGAGTGAAAGCAGGGAAAGATCATGTTTGTACTCCAGTGGCCTCATGAAAATGGGACAGGCTGTGGTTTGAACTTTTGGGGACATCCCTGCTTTGCCAGTAGTTCTATTACACTGAGACACAAGCAGCTGAAAAAGAAAGGTTTTTAATTGAACATAGGAAAGCTGGGAGCTTCTCTCCGAGTCCAGCCCTCTATTATCCCAAGTACCAAAGTCATAAAATACCTTCCATAAACTTATCGCATTTTAGTTTAAATGAAGTTGGGATTTTGGCCCCATTCCTCCTACTGGAAAGTTCTTCCAGAACTTTGTCCATATGGTGACTTACATTTAGACTAGACATTTTCATGGCCAGTTTGTACCTATTTGTTCTTCTGCCTATATTGTCCATTTAATTAAAGTAGCACTTTTTCATCCCTAGTACATTCCCCTACAGGTATACTTATAGGGAGCAAACATATCCTCTCTCAGCTTTCCCGTTGCTAAGCTAAATAATCAAGCTCTTTTTGTCTCATCCCTGGTCATGCCCTGGGAAGAAACATGGTATATGAATTGATCTTTAGACTGCTAGGAGCCACCAACAGGATGGGCCAGGAAAAAGGCAAGTATGAACCCCTTTTCTATGTTCAATGTAAAACCTTTCTTTTTCAGCTGCTTGTGTCTCAGTGTAACGGAACTACTGGCAAAGCAGGGATGTCCCAAAAAGTTCAAACCCCAGCCTGTCCCATTTTCATAAGGCCACTGGAGTATAAACATGATCTTTCCCTGCTTTCACTCACACTGCCAGGGCCCCATCAAATATACTCTTTTCAAGGGGCTTTGTTTATTGATGTAAACTATGTGGCCGGCATATTTATGTTCAGTCAGGTTGTTTTCCCCTCTTTTATTTAAAGGTTTTAAACATGCCTTACTGCCGTCACATAAATCTTAAAAGATTTGACGTAAAAAAGTGATCCCAGAGCAGACTAAAACAACAAAGCCCCCAGATCTGAGCTGCTTAATTTCTCTTTCCTATGAACTATAATTTTTTCAAGGTGATTTTTACAGACATCTGAATAACATTCATTGGGAGCACAGTATTGTAAAAGCCATCCCAAGTATTTCAGATTCTTAATGTCCAAATTTTGCTCTGCCTGTCCTGAGAGGGCTGGGACCTTTTGACGTGGTCTCCTAGGGAGGTTCAGGTACTGAATTGAGTAGTGGAGTTTACTTAGTCCTGCTCAGAGTAGCAGCAAAAGTGCACTTTTTTTGTTGCTGGCTAACTCTTTAACTGGATGAGGCCCAACTTCTAGATCCTTTAGGATGTGGTAACAGAGTAAGGGCCATTCCTGC